CATAGTTTTGGCTTGATTATGTGTAATTGTCTTGAATAAGCTCAACCAACTTCTAAAAGAAGCCCTATTTTTGATAACCCTTGATTTCTTTCAACCAATACAGATTTTATTTTTTTAAATATTATTTAAACACAATATTTAAATTTCATTTTTTCTATTCGATATTTAAATTGATGACAGAATAACTACTTTAATATTTAATTTTATACCTGTTTCTGATTCTGAGGAATGAGAATATATAAAATATTAGTGGGAAAACAAAATTAAGTATAGTTTAAGCGAACTATTGCATAATTTTTCTTATAAATATATGAATTTCAAATTATATTGACCACACAGATTCTCATTATTAATTGATCATTATTTAATTATTCTTTTTAATGCATTTTCGTAATTTAATTACACTAGGCTTATTTTTATTATGTACTTATAGCAACAAGTTGGATTCTATTATATTTGAGGACTTGTTTGTTATTAATCTAATGAATATTTATAAAACTGTTGGTATTTGATTAATTGATTATAATTAGAAATAAATAACATCTAATATTCAAAGTTTAATAATCCACATTTATATTTTTGATAATTATTCTTGATTTAATATATCATGAATTACGAGTAGTTATTTTAACAAAAAAAAAGAAATAGATATATTTATATTTTATATTTAAGGGAAAATATTGAAAAAGATAGAATAGTTTAAGTTGAAATAAATTTGAATATTTGTTAATGGAGGAAAAATTACAAAAAAAAATTTTTATCAAAAAATTTGGAGTAATAACAACAATTGATTCAGAAAAGACATCTCAAATTATCACTCTAATGTCTTTTTTTATTTCTTTTCAGCCTTAATAATCAATAAATCTATGCTATTCCTTTAATAATAATTAATTAGGTTATATATAAATAGAAATTATTAAGAATCTCCTACAATAAATTTTAAAGTATGTCAATCTAAGTATTTCTCTTGATTAAAAGCTTCGCTTATTATGGCTCTGGCCTTATTTTGAGGTTTTTTTAAATTTATCTCAAACATTTAGGGGTGAGAAATATTTTATGAAATGATAGAATTTTGGCTTATAAAGAATTAAATTGATTACATCATAATATCAGTATATTATATTTGATAAATTCATATACATAAGATTTATTTTGTTTTTATGTTTATTACAGTGATTAGAATCTTGGTTGAGACATAACTTATGTTGATGTTTTTTAAGGATAAAGAATAAAGTAGAAATTTTTAATTAATAAATTAAAATAATGCATAACTTATAATTATGTCCTATATTTAATAGTTTTTCATAATATTAATAAAAATTAATTATATTTTAAAATATCTTTTCGAATTCAAATAATTTAAAAATCTACAAAGTAAAGTGCTACAATGCTCAAGAGTTTTTTAGGCATAAGTAGATAGAAATGATAGAGTTAAAATAAGAATAATTATTTTGATTGAAAATATTAATTGAAATTTAATTTAAAATGAATTTAACAGCTACATTATTAATTTTTGATTAATATAGTACAGTATTTTTTTATACAATAAAATTAATGTTTTTGATTATCTCATCAATTTGCGTTTGCTTATTCCAATCAAAATGGGTAATGGTTGACTCAAGTTTTGGATAGGGTTTTACCAATAATTCCTGGATTCTTTCAATAAAGTGTGATCCTATAAATAATTTTGTCGACAAAGATGAGAATAATACTTGTACAGAGAATTCAATCAAATATGTACGTCTAAAGAAAGATAATGCAAGAATGGATAAAATTATTATGAAGAAAAGTTTCTAATCTCAAGTAATAGTTGATAATTTTTTTGATGATTTTTCTGATGGTTCTAAAAAAGCTTATTTCACATTAAACTACAGTGTAAGCTCAGCTTAAAGTTATAAAATGTAATTCAGATATTATTTCAAAGTGGATCTTACATAAAACTCAAGGAGAATATGTAATAGTACAGGATCAGGAAATTTTGATTTTATAACATATGTAGGTAATTCGCCAATTTAGTACCAAGAAAAATTTAACATATCAATAGGTATTGAGAGTGAAAATGATTAATAATTGGTTGGAGTTCGAAATTTGTTTGTTTATGTTAAATTTTGTTAATAAACTTGTTAGACTTGCTCAAGTTCTACTAGTTGTGATACATGTTATTTTGGTAGTCCATAAGCTAATGGGTTTTGTCTTTGCGACCCTGAACATTAATTTGCTTAAATTGGAGTTGGATGCAGATAAGAATGTGAAAGAGATTATTTTATAGCAAGATCTGATAATGTTTGTGTTCCTGATAGAAGAATAAAATCTTCATAAAAATATTTTGATTCTTCAACCTTAACTTCTTATTCTCCTTTTTTATTCGTTACTGATTCATTAAATTTAAGAAGCTCTCCTCCTACATTAATATATACTTGTGGCTCAACTAACTATGTTGGAAGTTTAATTTATGGTGAGGGAATGAGTTGGTCATTCGCAAGTGCATAGAACTTGAAATTTATTAGATTAAGGGTTACATTTTTTTTATAAAACTTCTTAACTAACAATAGAATATAAATAATTTTAGATGACTAAATATAAGGG